GAGTCTGTTAGGGCAAGAACGATATTACCCTATTAATCAAGAGCTAATTACAATCATTAAACGTATATGTATTATTAAAACTCTATGATATAATCGGTAAGCCTGGAAATTAAAAGCGCCGGGCATGCGCAGGTAGTAAAGAAGCCAATGGCGGCGCATTAATAGGGTTGCGGGTCCCCAATTCCAGCTGCAATCCCAATCACATTTGCGTACATCATACTATCATTTGATCTCTTTAGACATCGAATTGGTTTTTAGCATATATGCGTGCCACATTTGCGGGGTCCCAAACCTATTCCTCGATCCCTCCATTTAGCACACGCCAGATTAGTTTATCACATATGCGTACATTTCAACACTATATTGATTTCTTTAGCAACATCGATATTTGGTTTAGATATACTGCGTGCACACATTTGCGGCGGGTTCCAAATTCCTGTATCTCGTTTCAGCCACCCAGATAGTTTTAAGCCCACATATAGCCTACATCAAACTATCATTGATCTCTTTAGACACATCCTGAAATGGTTTAGCATATATGCGTACACACATTGGGGGTCCCAATCATCCTGATCTCTTTGCACACCAGATTATTTATCCAATATCGTACATCAAACTATCATCTGATCTCTTGAGCGACCATGAATGGTTTAGCATAATGCGTACCACCATTTGCGGGGTCCCAAACTGACCTTGATCTCTTTAGCACTCACCCAGATTAAAGTTTTATCCACATATAGCGTACATCAAACTAATCATTGATCTCTTTAGCACATCGAATTGGTTTAGCATATATGCGTACACACATTTGCGGGGTCCCAAACTATCCTTGATCTCTTTAGCACACCCAGATAAGTTTATCATATATGCGAACTATATATATACAGGAGTCTCAAACCAGGAATGAGCGACAAGGTGCACGTACGTACCTGCGGCATTTGCTAAACTAATTCAGGGTGCCAAACCAGGAATGAGCGACAAGGTACGCATAGGTACCTGCGGCATATGTGCTAAACCAATCTAACGGACAAGGTGCGGCGTACGTACCTGTGGTGCGCTGCAGATGATGGACAGAAGCCAAGCGAAGAAGAGCATCAGCTTGGCGCGCGTGCCGGCATTACGCACGCTCAGCGGATGACAGACGGCGAAGTAGCGATCCAGCGAGATGGCGATGAGCACGAACGAAGACAGATAGAGACCGAACTGTCGCCAGAAGGCCATGATGCGACACATGACGTCACCGGCGAGCCAGACGATCGTCGCAGCCCAGACGATCTCTAGCGGGATCATGACGAACGTGACGATGCAGTCAGCGACCGCCAGGTGCATGATGAGCAGGTTAACCCGCGACCGCGACCGCTTGCGATTCCGTACGAGGATCAGCAGTACGGTGACGTTGCCGATGGCGGCGATGACGAACAGGATTCCGTAGACGATGATCGTGAGGATGCGCTCCTGGTTGTAGCCCATGTAGGGCGGCGGCGGCGTCGCACCGGGAACATACGCGCAGCCGCTGCTGCCGTTCCCCGCCTCGGTGGCGTTCCCGACCATGTATCCATCGCAGAACGTCGCAACGATCGTACTGTTCGCGTCAGCGTTCTCGAACGCGAACGGTTGCCATGCCGAAATGTTGTAGAACGTTTCCGTAACCGAACTCAGATTGGAATGATTCTCGCTCGGTGTCCACGCCATGTCGCCAAGCACGCGAAGGTTCAACAATAACGATAGCAACAACAACAGCAGCAGCTGCAGCCACAACAACAACGACAACAACAATAACAGCGACGGCGACGATCCCGACTCGATGAGTAGCAACCGTTTCAAGGGTCACTATGTGTGATCGCTGGCCTTTGCCCTCCTCGGCGTGATACCCAGAGGGAGCGAGAAGTGCCGGTAGAGATATCAACGTTGCTATCGCATCGAGGTGCTCCCGATGATTAGAGCGCCGAACATCAACACTAGTAACGACAGCAGTACTCACTCGCCTTACCGACGATACGCACAACACACACACTCGACTCCATTGCTCGTCGCTTTTCATTCGCTAGCCTGTCTCACCGGCTTAGCCCTGTAAACGCAAAAAAGAAGGTCAGGCAGGCACACGGAGCGAGCGATACCGGGGCAGGCTATGGCAGGTAACACGTGATGGCTGACCGGCAGTGCGTGACCCTGCACAGTCCCCCGGGGGCGACGCAGCCGCGCTCTACTCGGTGTGGTTATGTATGCACGCTGCAGCGTATCAGCGCTGCACGCAACCCTGCTTTTGCTCGCACGACTGCAGGACACCCCTCGTCCTTTGTTGATAGTGGGGAAGATGGCGGTATACGCAGATACACGTACAGTTGTTCTGCACGCTCTCTCTCTCGCGCGCGCGCGATTTCTCTCTCTTCCTCACTCGCTCGCGCTCTCTCTTCTTTCTCTTTAAAAAAGTCGCTCTCTCGCTCGTTTGCTGGTTCAACGCCCCACTCTCCCTCATTCTCTGCCTCACTATGTGCACGCGTGCGTACACAGGCACTTGGAGCGTTTCAATAAAATATAATGCTAAATAAATACGAAATCTATTTACTATCAAAATGTCTTAATGTTTCTCTACTCTCTTTCACCTATTATTGCCGACAATTTTCTGTAAATGCCGTCCAAATGCTCATCTGCAACACACGCTGGCTGCCGCACGCTAGCTGCTGCAGAAAGCCACGCCCGTTGATAGCTCACCGATTTTGATCGTGATTAAAATCCAGATAATCAATACAATACGTTTTAATCGCAGCCAAGCTAATCACGTGATGGGGTACACAACTTTTCCACATTGCATTCTCTATTATGTACTCTTGATATATAATATAATATATGGATTTCAAAGAACATTCCTGGCAGTTCTCATATTTTCCCGCCGACCATTACAACACTTGCTGGTATTGCTTGGCATTGCGTAATGTCTCCATTAGGGTCAACATGTCTTAGAACGCCTTGTACATTGTAACGTGCACTAACATATTCTTTTAACGGAATCACTTCTCAAATTCAACAAAATTCTGAAAATATGTAGTGCAAAATTACGCTTACTTGAAAACTACTCATTCACGAAAAATGTATTCATGCTGTTACGGTATATTGAATAGCCAATAATGCAGCAGCAACAAATCCTATGCGTACAATTACTCACAACACGCATGCAACCCGGACAATAATTGTTACCTATCATTTCTAAAAGAAGAAGGCCAGTCTGCGCCCCGAACTGACGTCGTCAGCAAATAGTAGACACGTGTTGACCACTGTTGTACATGCATATTAAAGTTGGCGCACGTAACCTCCATGATGGGACTGCCGGCAACCAAGGGCGTGCCACACGTTGTCACTGACACGTTCTGACGCCGACTTTTATATAATTATGATTAAAATTATTATCTCTCAGATAAATCGAAAAATAAAATCGGGTAAACAAATTAAGTCTGACCTATATTCGCCGGCTGGTTACTAAAGCATCAAAATTACCACGTGTTTGTACTATTACAGGCTATAAAACAGCAAATGAGCAGCAAACTGGCGCTGTCGTTTCTGATATTCGCGAAAATGAAACCTCAAAATGAAATGGCACCACAAATACTGATTCTGCGACGTAAACTGCACTGGCAGCAAGAACAAGTCCGCACCAGCTACAGCACACACGCCGCCATTGACTACATAATAACAATAATTATGTTTTAATAACAATAATTATGTTGTTATTATATAGTCAATGGCGGCGTGTGTGCTGTAGCTGGTGCGGACTTGTTCTTGCTGCCAGTGGTAAACTGTTGTAGACATTTAGACAACAGTAACAACGTGTAGAGACAGGGCACCCGTCAATGGCATCGCCTGAGATGCGATAACCTACGCGCTATACTGATGTTGACATATGTAAACAAATCTACTTTGAAATGCAGATCAGTGCGCATATTGCTGAAAATAATTATGAATGAGTGTTCTAAGACATCAGGGCCGTAGGCTGAGCAAATTTCTAGGGGGGGGGGGGGGCAAAATTTCATGAATCAACGGTGTAATGATGAGGGACGGGCGCAGCTCTTGATCGACGTCCATAGTGTGGTGGGGGTAGGTCGGAGACCAGGCTTTCAAGGATAAGTGACCAAAAAAATCTTTACAAAATAAAGTTTTTTCATGTGTATTTTAATTTTGCTCCAAAAACTAGGGGACAATAGCCCCCCCCACTGGCTACGACCCTCGACATATGTCACTCCCAGGACAAGCAATCACATCATTTAAGTCTTTTGAACACGCATGTAGCGAGCCCCTGGCTAGTCTCTGCCGACTCAATTATAGTACTTTTGACTAAAGGCTTGGTCATAGTAATTGAGGGTTATCTAGATCGGGCCTCTGGGCCTGTTGAAAGGAATTTCACGCGTGTACATTCGCGTGTTTTATACACACCAGGCACGCCACAAGTACAAACACTGTCAAAGCTAGAACGTTTTCTTTATTTAATTCTTAAAAGAAAGATAAAAATTTATCTTTTTTCTACAAAATTATTCGGCACTTACACTCTTCCCATATCAGCAGCCAATCCCGTGTTTCTCACGGTAAAGTAATAAATTACACGCCCTTAGAAAAAAAGTTTCTCATTGGATCTCCTAATAAATCAACAACATTCGGCCACTTAATAATTTGTGAGATGGATGCTCTTACATGTTTGTCATTAAGATACAGATTAGGCGAAAGACCAAGCAATAGATAGCTGCTAGAAGCTATATAGACAGAAGTCACGGCTAAGATGATTACTAAGACCAAGATGGCCGCTAGCGTTTACGTTCCTAATGAGCTCGGCTATTTTTAGTCGCCCCACGACCTACTGGGGGGTTAACTGCTATCGTCCTCAGGGCAAGGTACCATCGTGTCGCACGTTCCCTGCCCGCCGTTTATGCAGTTGTCACTGCTACACGCATGCATGCTCGGTCGGCCGTAGCTTGTCGCTGTATTATGCTCTTATATTGCACACATGACCACAGTAGGACCTAACCCAACCAGGCTGTGTGACTAACGTCAATATACACACACTTAGGTCCCCTAACCCTAGCAAAGACCGTTTCTTGGAGCTAAGTAGGACCTTCTTTCTTGCGCTCGATACAAACTCGACATAGATTATGTACAAACGAGAGCAGTTACGCCAACCCTGGCGACAACAGCTCGCTTGCTTGCTCGCAGTCCACGTAAGAGAGAGAGAAAGAAAGAGAGTAAAGAGAAGTGTATTATTGCTAGTACGTCTACTTTTGCCAGTCGGCGCTTGCCCCGTCTTATTGTATTCGGTCTTTGATTTGATATATATCCCCAACTCATCGGCCAACTTAGTAATCGCGTACGCAACTCAAGATACATTTTGCCAGGTTTGGCGTTAGTAATGGCGGACGAATAAGAAATAAAAACATTGTTGATGAAATGCTATCTGAAAGGGGAAATAGAAGCAAGAGAGACAGACGACAAAGGGTTAATTATTACGAGTACTTCCATAGATATCCTCTCTTGATATCCTGTATATACTATATACATGTATCTATATATATATCAAGGGCTAATCATACCTGTAACACACGCGAGTCTAAGTAAGAAATTGTTTTTACTGTGTCTAATGACTTGTATACTGTATACGCCATATTTTTCGCGTACACATATTTTCGCGAATTCAGACTTGACGGACAATTTCGCGAGTGGTTAATTTCGCCGTCGGTGAATTATGAATTATTCGGTATTATTCGGTATAAATTATTCACGTGTTGTTAATTTCGCGGTCAGGGACGCGTTCGCGAAAATTAAACCACCGCGATATATACAGCGTATACAGTATATATCAACCGCGATTCATATGCAGCCGGTAAGAATTAATGCGTGTGCATAATTGATTAACCGGACCAAACAAGACACAGGTGTGTGGCGCTGATATCCGCAGCGCAGCACTCGACCTCCCAATGTCGTTTCTGATTGCCTCTCACGTCCCGAATATGACGTCGAGTCATTTAGGTTTGTACTCATATTCTTAACCGTCGGCCGCTTTTCCATTTAATATGCTGCATCTGACTATGTCAGCTGTGCTGAAAACAGAGTAGTGTACAAAGCTTCATTAGTGGAAATGCAACGGTCTCCCTTGATCCTCAACATTACACAATCTTACCGCGCGCACGCACGCCACAGCCCGGAAACTCACGCAGGATTGAAGAAAGAGGCCCGAGACCCGGTGAGAGCTACTGTCCTGCCATTATATCAGCACTACGTTAACATGCATTCATGATTTTATCATCATAAGCGAGGCAGACTGCGCTGTGAAATCCAATATAGCGATTCAATACTCTTACTTCCTTATAATTTCCCAGCCGCTTGACTAACACGATTATAAGTATATACTGTGATAATCTAAGAGCGCGAACGAGAGGAAATGAAAAAGCCGTAGAGTGTGAAACATGGCGAGGAAGTAAGAGGGGTGACGGAGTGGCGAGATAGATAGGGAGAAAGCGGGAAAGCACGAGAAGGGGTAAATAGAAAGAAAGAGAGAGCGAGAGTAAGAGACCTCGCACGGGACAGAAAGAAATGGATGGGGTAGCAAGAAAGTGAGTGAGTGAGTGAGTGAGTGAGTGAGTGAGTGAGTGAGTGAGTGAGTGAGTGAGTGAGTGAGTGAGTGAGTGCGTGAGTGAGTTAGTGCGGGGATTAGAAGGACATTAAATTTCTGTCACGTCGGATCACATATAAGCGATTGCTCTAGTTTTAATTCTACTAATATTAAAACTATACTCGGTTTCTACATTTTGTAGTACTAGTTTTTACGTAAACTTGATTCAAACATCTCTATGGTTGGCCACACGTTGATTCCCAACGATAAACGGAGTAAGAATCTATATTATGTTATGAATAACACATCGATCATGCGTTTTATATTCAATGTGTTTGCGTTAAAATAGTTCGTGAGATTCTCACCCTAAATATATTATTAACCCGATGAGTGTCATGTTGACAATATCGCAATAATTCTACGTTTCGGCGATTTTCACCGCTAGCGTCGCCGTCCACTAGATTTCTACTAGCCATCATGCAGTGTTTACAGTATAGAAGTGTCAGCATCTCAACATTTACGCAAACATACCTATATAGATCTAGAACTAGAATCTATGTAGAAGTAGTAACTATATATATATATATATATAGATGCACATACATATATTATTTGATGTAGCTGCTACATGTACAGTCACTCTCTGCGCATGCGCGAATACCACCCGGTAACAAGTGT